GATTCAATCATTTGCTTCAGAGTTTTTCTCTCCATGGGTCATGGAACGGAGCATCTTGCAGGATGAGAACTGTAAAACTAGAGTTTGTTGAAGTAGGTAAATAAAATCTTGTGTGAGCTGGCAACTGAAACTGAATAAATATGTACCAAACAGTCCTGGGCCTAGAGCTTTCCCTGGGCATTTCTCTATGAAGGCAAATATGAGCTTAAAAAAAGAGTCAGAAATGCTGGGCTACAGAAAGGCATTTTAAATGACAGGGAAAGACAGCTTCTCGTGCTTTGCTTGCTGAAACAGTGGTTTGTATTTTCCTGATGAATTTCTTGGGAGGCATAAAAGATGCTCATCTGTGATTAATTTATTTCTGAGCTGAAATGACTGCACAGTCTTTTAGCTTGACAGGACAGGTTTTGGCAAGACTTTTGCACATGCTAGATCTCTGCTGAAGAACATATGTTTATCTATCAAGCCTTGAATGGAAAGTGAGGACATTTGAACAAGCAGCTGGGATTCAATTACCTCTTGTTGTCTCACGAGGAAAGCATCAATGAAGCTCCTCTGGTCATTTTTGTCCAGGGCTTTGAGATGTTCTATGAAAGTAACCTTCATAAAAGTATTGAGTTCTTTTTCATTATCACGAAAAGTTTTGTAGTCCTTCAGGAGGAATCCAAGGACTGGGAACATGTTGTACAACTGTAAGATGTAGAAATGGTGAGGAAAAAACCCCAGTTGCTAAGTAAATGTACCACAGTTCAACAGTCTACATTAAGGAAAACCTTTACATAAAATGGTGTGTCACCTTATACTCATGATGCAATATGTCCCTTTATCCACCTTCTTCCCTGACCAACTGTGTAAAATGGTTAAAATTTATTCCCTCTTATGCTGAGTATTAACCACACTAGCTGGTGATGGCCTCGAAGTCCCATGTTTGTGCATATGTCCTTGAGACAATTCCTCACCTCTCCAGTCCTAGACAATTCATCCCTCCCTCTCCACACTGGTTGGAGTTGGGAGTCTCAAGTTTAAGAGAGAGTTACAGACATTCCCTCACTGTTTTTGACCTTGTTGTTTGTAATGGGAGATGGGGAATAACGGCCAACTTCTATTGCTAGAGGACACAATCGTTGTATCATATTACATGTTGTACAATTCTTCACGAAAGGAGGGATTTATAATTTCCCAGGCTATGCTGCTAAGAGAAATCCAGAAATAGCATCAGAGGTCCACTTTCTGCCATTTCAGGCTGCATCTGTCACATACAGATAGATGTGTCGCAATGATTGACGTTGGAGAGGTGTACCATTGCACTGTGTAATCATGCTTTTGAAAAACAATATTCAAACAATATGAATTACCGAAATTGATGGACTTCCAAAAATCCGGACATTTTCATTTATTAATGTCAGGAGCCTTTTGAATGTGGGGTCTTCATAGTCATACCGCTTTCCAAGCAATATGGATACGATGACATTGGCGACAGCAGCATTCATCATCAGGGTCAACTCAAGGGGCTTCCCTAGTGTGCAAAAAAGTGGTGCAAACAACAAAGTCAATGGTTATTCAAACTAATGAAAGTCACATGCAGAGGCTTGCTGATGTCTGGGAAATGATAGACACAGAACTGGCAGGAGGAAAGGCTCTTCCATCTCAGGGTGGCATGTCCGTAATGGCGCTTTGACAGACCAGAGACTGAATGCAGGTTTTTTGTTCTCCCCTCCAGTTTTGCCAAGACTATTGTGACCCTGGTCTTTGTGGCCCTTCCCCAGGCTGCTCTGTTTATGCATACATAATCTTAAATTTTGTCCATATAGGGGAAACTCTCAACATTGACATTCCCTCCATCAGTGCCATGCTGAGCTGTTCCTTATCACCACTATTATAGAATCGGAGAATCATAGAATGGTTTGGGTTGGAAGGGAACTTAAAGACCATCAAGGTCCAACCCCCCTCCCATGGGCAGGGACACCTCCCACTAGCCCAGGTTGCTCAAAGCCTCATTCAGCCTGGCCTTGAACACTGCACTCAGTAGATTTTGGTCACTCAGTCTTTCTTGCTGGGGCTCTCACTTCCACAGGTTCTAGGTCCCTCTGGTACCTCCCCTAGATACAGGTCCTGCTTTCAGCAGTTCCGGTTTAGAACTTGACACCTTAACTAGAATGATGACGTCAAAATCTGTTTTTATCCCAGTTCTGTTTTGGCGAAAGAGATACCTACAGACTTGCTGTTCTTGGTAACTCAGCTTAGTGAGAAATAACCTCGGATGATGCTGGTGAAACGTGTAACTGGATGTTCTGCCTCCCACAGTAAGGGGGTTGCTCATGCATGTGACTTGGGGGACAATCAATTTTCTAGTATAGGTATGCGAGTCCTTGCAATAGCCTTCTGCTCTCCCCATGCTGCTAAATCAATCAAGGGTGCTTCACATAGAGGGACAGATTACTTTTCTCAGATGTGCTGTTTGATGTCCAACTTCATGTTTGACTTCTAATGCCTCAATCAATGGTTTTCATTTACTTGCCAGGCAATTGCCAGGAAGAGAGAGAGACAGACAGCTCGTTTGAACATCCTGGGAGCACTGATGCTGGAGAAAGGTAGATCTCTGAAAGAGTTCAGAGACTCCTCCTTTTTGACTCCTGGCATTTTTGTAGGAGGCTTGAGGAAAATCAGAGCGAAGTGAAGGTAAGAATCCCCCACCTTTCTGTGCCTCAATGGTGTCTGCCAGGCATCCATACTCTTCTACAACACGATCCTCTATGGCCTTCTTGCCCATTCCAAAGTCTCGTAAGGTTGTAAGAATAAATCTTCGCATCACTCTCCAGTATTCTCCATCAGAAAATATCACTCCTGAAATGGCAAATGAAAACACAGA